CTAAGTTCTAGCACACAAACAAGATTTTAAAAAGATGAATGGCCTATAGATTATTAGAAACTTATTAGTGTCAGTTTTCTTTCAACAGGAGGAAAAAAATTTCTAAAAGCTAAAAGAACAGTTTGGAGAATTCTGAAGCTCATCAGTAAATACACTTAGAAATTTCTAATGTCTTTAACACTTCAATGGCCCCTCATATGTTAACTATAACCGAGTCAGTGAATCATCATCATCAGGAATTGTCTTTAGCGCCTTTGTTAGCTATATGCTTAAGAAGCCGCAGCAGGATTCCAGCTTGCATTAAAAAAAAAAAAAATCTTAGAACAATGAATTCATTGTTATCCAAGCTCAAAAACTAAGTGACATCCTGAAATTTATTGTTAAAGTATCATAGGCAGATAGAAATCATCCTTGTGTCCATTACTACTCATTAAAAGTACATTATTTCAAAAAGTAAATATTTCTGAAAGCCAACAAGGGTCTTTGTGAAGAAATAAAGTATAAGCTTATTTTCATTGGTAGAACAATATTTTCTTCCAAGATGGATTTACCTATATTGACTTCTATGCAAAAGGAAGGACCCAACACACAGTGCCTTGTTTGTTTCACAGGTAAGAAATTTAGTCAAGTCAAAGAATATAATAATTTCTCAAAATAACTTGATATGGAAGATGATACAGTATTGCTAAACTTGTAATTGTTTAAATATTTTTACTATGTATAATTAAATGGTATCTGCAAAAATTATGTAGATTTATAGGAATCTTTAAAGGAATCATCTTCTATGTGAATTACATTCTTATTTTATTTTTTGTGGTCCTGGGGATTAAATAAACTCAGGGCTTTCCTACGCAAGCCTTCCATATTGATTCACACACCTAGTCCTGGAATTAGATATGATTTTGTTTTTTAAAGTTGCTATGTCTAACCTACAGAAGGAAGTTGAACATTATACATTTAATTGTACTGAACATGGATAAGTTATTTCCATTAGAAATTTAGATATTTATAATATATCTGTGCCTCAAAACCAAGATTCTTTCTAGGATTTTCTCAGCAAGAACGGATTACCTTTATTGTGCTTTGGGAGATTCACCAAACTTAATTAGCTGTGTTTTTAAATCCATCAGTGTATGTTTTCTGAGAACAACAAAAAAGAAAATACCTTTTACGTATTCCACAGCCCACATTTCCCCCATTTGAACCTTGTTGGTAAATTTACAAACCGAAATACAAGCTAAATAGTAAAAGAACAGTAGAGGCTCTCAGCAGTCATGACGGTGTTCAGAAAGTTTCAAATACAAACTGAGGCTAAGACCAAATAAGTAACACAGTGGGCATATATATGTGCTACCTATCCCTATATGGTTATGTCTCCATGGGTATATACATATGTATCCCTAGGAACAACATATTCTACCTCAAACTTAATGAGAACCACTAAAAATAAATGTACCACTCACTTATATTGGTCTTTTCCCTAAAAATATGTATATACATAGGATCAATGATCACTAGTTAGCTAGAATTTTGACAAGAAAGTCTCTTTCTCACAAGGATGACTTCTACATAGTACTGCAGGTGTGACTTGGTGTTCACAAATGAGGGCTAGAGGCCAGTACCCCAAGAGCATTTTGCTTAGGGATTGTTTTGGGAAGAGTTAATTTATGTATGTATCACAAAACTATGCATGAAAGTCTCCAATTCAGTGGTTTCAGTATATTCCTAAAATTGTGCACCATCACCATTACATAATATAGAACATTCTCACCAGGCTTGCGGTGCGGGAATTGAAATTTATACCAACACTGCTACTTCTTTTTATTTGCAGTTTAAAACTGAAGTGTTAGTTACAGGAAGTGCAGTGATATAACCTGATATGACCTGTTTTAAAAAGAAACAAAAAACACATTTTTACACCAATGTAGCAAGAAGTGAAAGTCAACTCTTCATTGTTGGATTTTTACCTTCAACTCTATGCATGCCTTGAAATACAAGGAAAAGCATTAAACTGAAACACCTCTTAGAATATCTTATTATCTGATATTTATGAACGTTTAAAAACATTCAGTCTTTTTCTCTTGCCATATGGTATGCTATGCTAAGAGGCTAAGAGGGATTGCTATTGACCTGGGGCAAGTTTCTACCCAGTGCCCTCTGGAATCTTCCTATTATTTTTAAGTGTTCACATAAGATGGGTTCCCAGCCTCAAATGTAGGAATTTTAAAATGCTAATTCCTAAAAGAGATCTTATCCTTGAAATACTGGACTTAAAAGATACTAATGGTATTTTCTAAGACATGATGCTACTTTAATTAAACTAATTATACTTACCTTCTTAAACTAGATTATTCACCATCTGAAGGACTAAATCTATTGACAGTTGGAACTATGTGGTCAGTTGCTACCTTGAAAATGCAATTATAATTTGAATAACTTTGCCAAGTATATTATGAAGACAAATACCTAGACATTATCAAAAGAGTATGGAAAGTAGGCACTAGTGGCTCACGCCATAATCCTTAACTGCTTAGAAGGCTGAGATCTAAGGATTATAGTGTGAAGGCAGCCCAGGCCAGGACACTCTTATGTGAGACTCTTATCTCCAATTAACCACCAAAACACCGATGGAGACATGGTTCAAGTGGTAGAGTGCTTGCTCTCAGCAAAAAATGCTCAGAGTCAGCGCTCAGGCTCTAAGTTCCAACCCCTGTGAGACACACATACATACACATACACACAAGGGTATGAAATTTTCTTTTTTTTGGGGGGGGGGGGAGTCCGATCATGGGGCCTGAACTCTGGGCCTGGGCGCTGTCCCTCAGCTCTTCAGCTCAAGGCTAGCGCTCTACCACTTGAGCCACAGCGCCACTTCCGGCTTTTTTCTTTTTGCTTATGTGGTGCTGAGGAATCGAACCCAGGGCCTCGAGCATGCAAGGCAAGCACTCTACCACTGAGCCACCTTCCCAGCCCCCTGAAATGTTTTTTTTTTTTTAAAGTTAAGGTACTACACTTGCACACCATTATAATAACCCAAAAGAAGAAATAAATATAGAGCGTAAATATGCAAATAAGGGGCCACAACAGACTGGGCAGGCAAGGTGGTATGAGTCAGTAATCCCAGCACTCAGAAAGCTGGGTCAGGAGGATCACATCCTGAGAACCTGTCTCAAGAAAAAAAAAGTCACGACATGTGGTCTTAATATAAGTGCTTTTAAAAAAGCATACATCTTACTATTTATTTACACACGTCTACTTGACACTAAAAGGATTTAAGATATAAGTTACAGTTCAGTCCTAGCCCGTGTTTCTTTTTCTGTTTTGAGACAAGTTCTCTCTGTTTTACTCAGACCGGTCTGAGACTCCTGGACTCAAGTGATTTACTCACCTTGGCCTCCCCAGTAGCTGGGATTAGTGGCATGTATCACTGTTGTCAGCACTTGTCTGCTTAAATGTACTGATTTGGACTTGCACTTCCTTCTCTCTTATTTTAAAGCATTCTTCACAGATTTTACTCACTATCATGGTGGTATTAAGAACAGTAGACAATTTTTAAGAAAATCCTAATTTTTTTTTTTTTTTTGCTGGACATGGGGCTTGTACTTTGGGCCTGGGTGCTGTTCCTGAGCTCTTCAGCTCAAGGCTAGCCCTCTACCACTTGTGCCATGGTACCACTTTCAGCTTTTTCTGCTTATGTGGTACTAAGGAATGGAACTGCATGTTAAGCAAGCACTCTACCACTGAGCCTCATTCCCATCCCCTAAATAACAGTTTATCATTGCTATCTTCTAAAGCATCATGTTAGAAGACCTACCTTAAAATGGGACTTATTGAAGGATAAAGATAGATAAGACTTAAAACCTTATCTATGAGCATCCTGTATATTAATATTATTATCTACCATAGCTGTATGTATTATCAGTACTCAAACTAGTTTTGTGAAAAGTTCAGAAGCAATACTGATTGATGTTAGATTGGGCAGTAATTATGGCAGGATATCCTGATACACAGAGATGAACTAATATGCATGTATATGGGCCTTAAGGGCAGGGAATGTGACTTAGTGGTAGAGTGCTTGCCTAGTACTCAAGAAGCCTTGGATTTGATTCCTTAGCACCACATAAACAGAAAAAGCCAGAAGTGGCGCTGTAGCTCCAGTGGTAGGGTTGCTAGCCTTGAGCAAAAGAAGCTTAGGGGCAGTGCCCAGGTTCTTAGTTCAAGCCCCAGGACTGGCAAAAAAAGAAAGAAAAGAAAGAAAACAGAATTACAACCTGCTGAAGAAATACAATAATATTTCACTTAGAAAAAAGTAGGTTGGAAACACTATTTCCTAATACTGTATCCTAGGACTAGTGCTGCTAATTACAATTAAAAAGCTCTATCTTTGTAGATGACACTTTAAAAAAATACCAGGCATTTTTTAAATACCAAAATTAACTAAGATACTCAATTAAAATAATTTTGATTTTGAAACCACAAATGGTAGTTAAATGTGTTGTCGATAAAAGCTGTTTGTGGTAATAAATGTTGCAATAAACACCATTACTGTGCTTGATATAGCTTTGTGATTTTTATTTTTCCTTCTAAATAAGTTTGTATTTGTAACATTGCTACAGACCGAGGTAAGTCTGAAACATCCTTTTGTCAGGCTTGGAAGAGTTCCCCTTCTAAAAGTCTGTGGAAATGATAATGCACAGCTAAGACAATACTTTGCCATTTTCTTTTTTTTTCCTCATTTTTGAAAGTAGGAAGCCTCTTTCTTTCTCCCTCTCTTTTCTCCCAGCTTCTTATGATGAGTCCCAACACAAATGCAACAGCTGGAGTTACCTACAGATATACAAACTGAAAGAAAAGAAATATTATGGTTGGCTACTTAGTCTCCTGAAATGAAGACAAATCTGTCAGGATAGGATGATAAGTCAGTTTAAGTCATCAGGGTTGGACAGAGAACTCTGCTTCAAGGTAAAAACGGTACTTTGCTCTGACAGGCGTCCCCATACCTTGTATCTGTCCATTGGATCTTCCTGCTGCAGCTGACTCTCTCGCATTGTCTGGTATTCTTTTTCATATTTCTTCAGCTTTTTGGTTGGTACCTGAAGGGTTTGAAGAAAAGTATATTACACCAGACCATCACAGAGGAAAAATGTCTTTCAAACAGTTTCCTAGTTCAGTTTCTGGAATCCTAAAAGAACATTCTCAACTCACTGTTGGGGGGAAATATCTAAATTGAAGAGTAGAGCTTAGCAAACTTTCTAGTAGTATATATTTTAGGCTTTGTAACAATCATAGTCATTATCACACCATTCAGGCTCTATAGATATTTCACAAAAGTTGCCATGGATGATAATTAAGTGAACCAGTGTGGCTGTATTTCAACAAAAATTTACAGAAACAGAGTCATAGTTTGTCCATCTCTGTTCTGTAATACTGCTGATGTCCTAATTGTTCTTGTATATATGTTTAATAGTACCATTCATTTTAACTATCTTTAAGTATAATTCATTCAGTTTTCTATTACATTGAAAATAAGTATATTTTATACTTCAGAAATTGAACAATAAGTTAATATAACAAAAAAGAAATTGAAATTTGAAGAAACATAGGGTCACTACTGAATAATAAAAAACATGTTAACAACTCATTGATTTTTTTTTTGCTAAAATAAGGTCATTCTCAAAAGTTGTAGTTTATTCTCTCCTATGAAGAAAATAATCTTTCAAAATCTTAGAACTTTTTTTTTTTTTTGGGTCCGGTCGTGAGGCCTGAACTCTGGGCCTGGGCGCTGTCCCTCAGCTCTTCAGCTCAAGGCTAGCGCTCTACCACTTGAGCCACAGCGCCACTTCCAGCTTTTTTCTTTTTGCTTATGTGGTGCTGAGGAATCGAACCCACTGAGCCACCTTTCCAGCCCAAAATCTTAGAACTCTAAAAATGAACATCTAACCATAACACAATATAAAGGTCATAGAATTTGGCACTAGATGAACCCGAGTTTGAAAGTCCATTATTTGTTTATGGAGTTTGTATTCCCTTAACAAATAAGTATTTAGTCACTTAGTCACAGTGAATGGGCAAAGAAATTTCTACCTCATAAAAGAGGTTGAGGGAATTAAATAATGTAACATAGATAACATAGCTAAAATAAAGCCTATTTAAATTAGTAATTTAAAATTTTCAGAAAATTCAGGGAGAAAGTTAAACCATTTAGTTGCTGGGCACGGGTGGCTCACACCTGTAATCATAGCTACTCAGGAGGTTGAGATCTGAGGATCGAGGTTCAAAGCCAGTCCAGGCAGTAAAGTCCATAAAACTCTTATCTCCAATTAACCAACAGAAAAGCGGAAGTGGCACTGTGGCTCAAGTAGCAGGGCACTAGCCTTGAGCTGAAGAGCTCAGGGACAGCGCCCAGGCCCAAAGTTCAAGCCCCACAACCAACAAAACACACACACACAAGCACACGTGCGCACACATACACACGCACACGCACACACACACACACACACACACACACAAACATTTAGTCAAAATTAATGTATTATAAACCAGGTGCTGGTAGCTCATGCCTGTAAAACTAGCTACTTAGGAGGCTGAGACCCAAGGATCGTGGTGTGAAGTCAGCCTGGGCAAGGTGAAACTCTTATTTCCAGTTAACCATCAAAGAGCTGGAAGTAGAGCTGTAGCTTAAGTAATAGAGCATTAGCCTTGAGCAAAAAAGCTCAGGGAGAGCACTTAGGCACTTAGTTTGAGCCCCAGGACTGGTACAGGAATGCCTGCATGCGCATGTGCACACACATACACATATGCACACACAATCAATTAATGTATTATGTAATCCAATGTGTTTCATGTGACAGATCAAACTTTTACCTTTTCCTTGAACAACCGAAACAACAAAAAAAAATCCTTTTCCTCCTCCTGTAGTGCTGGGGGATCAAACCCAGGGCGTCATGCTTGCTAAGCAAGTGTTCCATTACTAGGCTATACTCCAGCCCTATGTGGTTTGTTTAAACATCAAAGTCTTTCCTTTACATTTAGATCCAAAGAAAGAGACTTGAAAGAAATGATTTTGTTGTTGTAACATTACAAACATGCTACTTTACTGACTTCTTGAGGCATCAGATGATGCAAATCATTTGCCCTCAGGTTGTTTCTTTCTCAGTTCAAAGCATGATATTTAGTAATTAAGTATATATTTGTGAAAGAGAGCTAAAGAGGATAGAAAATACCACATGATTATAATATATTTTAAAACTTTCTGAGAAGAGGATAGTTTCACTTCTATTAAACTTGTCCAATTTGTTAAAACAAAGACACCAGTATCACTCACTCTTCTTTATTACTTTGTCATTTTGTTTCAGGATTAGTGTGAAGAACTAGAATTATCTTCTTATCACAATTAGGAGGTCTCACAATCTTACTCCAAGCCTGAAAATGTAAACTACCCAACAACTACCCAAACCTGAAAATGTAAACTACCCAACAACTACCCAAACCTGAAAATGTAAACTACCCAACAACTACCCAAACCTGAAAATGTAAACTACCCAACAACTACCCAAACCTGAAAATGTAAACTACCCAACAACTACGTTATGAGAATATTCATCTGCTGGTGGGGAAACGTCCCCCAGTCAAACAGGAAGCGAAAGTATTTTCCGGGTGTAATTGAATTGTAAAGCCACTGCTGAATCCTGTCATGAGAAACACTAATCCTTGATTACTCCATCTCCAGAGACCTTCCACAGCACTCTGTGATCAACTAGAGTACAATAAAGGGCACCACCTGCCAACTGTGAGTCTTCTCAGATCAAGATAAACAAGAAACATACACAAGATCATGTGCTAAAGAAATGACATTTTTCTTGATTTTGATGTTGGTCTCAATTTTAATTTTATTTTCTCTCTATATATTCATCATATACTGGGGAAAAAAACAAATATAGACTCTAAAGGTCAAGCAGCAAATTGTTTGGCACTGAAATAGCACTGGAGCTCAGGAAAAAAGGAGGAAGTCTCAGAGTTCAAGTATGTAGCTATGCTTTACTCAGGAACAGAAGGAGGGGATGCAGTTAAAGGTATTGGCAACAAAGTCCATTCCAGCAGCCATTTTCCCATCAGATCAGACATATTTCAATATTTTTGTAACTGGACTACTACACTACTGGATACCAGGCAGGGTAATAGGTCCCTGTGGAACTAGTGTCCGAATAGCTCTAAAATGGATCCATTCATCAACAATGCAATTGCATATCGAAGCTTGTTTCTAGAGATTTCTTCTGAAACTGTATTTTAAAAAATCAAACTGTTATTGGGATTTTACATGTTTTTTTTTTCAAATCAAGTCTGCTATTTATGTTAAAATGTTCATTTCAAAAAAAAAAAACAAGGGGCTGGGAAGGTGGCTCAGTGGTAGAGTGCTTGCCTTGCATGCATGAGGCCCTGAGTTCGATTCCTCAGCACCACATAAGCAAAAAGAAAAAAGCTGGAAGTGGCCTGTGGCTCGAGTGGTAGAGTGCTAGCCTTGAGCTAAAGAGCTGAGGGACAGCGCCCAGGCCCAGAGTTCAGGCCTCTTTTTAAAAATAAAAACAAAAAACAAAAACCCTTACATATCCTGAATAAGCTAACCTTTCCCATCTGGTTGAGATTCTAGGATATTTGGCTTCATCTTGTTCAGAGAAACAGAGCAGGCTCCCAGAACAATATGTTGCTAGGAAACCTTCCAAGCTTATTTATCTTGTGCTGTGGGGTGATACTGAGCATCTACCTGTAATTGGCACAATGGGAAATGGGAAAAAGGATGAGGGAGAGAGTGGCAGGAGAACTGATATGAAACTCTTGTTATTTATGAAGTAATAAAAAGAAAACGAGAGACTTCTGTTTTTAAAACTGCATTTCAGGAGTAAATAAAAATTGTATTTTGTTTTAAAGAATGGAATCTAAAGCTAAATCAAAAATTTTCACACTGGAGAAGAAATAAAGATGGAGAAAAACCTTCTTGTATAAGCACTGTGCTAAAATTGCAGAAACTTGAATCCTGTTTTGGTTTCTGTAGTAATGCTAGCAAAAGGAAAGTATCTGCAGAGATCCTATAATCCTAACTACTCAGGAGGCTGAAATCTGAGGATTGTAGTTCAAAGCCATCGGAGGCAGGAAAGTCTGTGACTCTTTTTTTTATTTATTTCTATTTTTATTTATTTTATTTATTTTTTATTGTGAAAATACTGTACAGAGGGGTTACAATTACATGAGCAAGATAATGAGTACATTTCTTATCAAGCATTGTAGTTTCCTCCTTAGTTTCCCCTTCCCATCCCATCCCCCCCCCCCCCCCCCCCCCACCAAAGTTGTATGTCTCATTGTTGCTATGGGTCCACCTGAATCCCTATTTAAACGGATTTGTTTTTCCCTTCCCCTCCACGAGTCGGGTGACTCTTATCTCCAATTAACTACCAGAAAACAGGAAATGGTTTTGTGGCTCAAGGGGTGGAGTGCTAACCTTGCACTGAAGAGCTCAAGGACAGCACCCAGGCCCAGAGTTCAAGCCCCACAACCAACATAAATATATAAATAAATAAAACCTTTTCAATATGGAGTTTTAATTCAAAGAACAAAAGGTGACTAAAACTGTTTGAATTGAAACAATGCTTTATCTGAGTATCAGTACCAATATATTATTTTTCCCCTTAAATTAAATCAATGCATTTGAAAGTGTATACTTGAAGAGGCATTCAAGGGATCACAACTCCTCTTAAATGTTTACCTAATTTCGGTCCTGTGAACATTTTTTGCTTTTCCAGCACTTCCTATTTGGTTAATTTCAGGAAATGTCCTAAAAAATTCACAAGTGTTTTATGAGTACAAATGATAAGGAGTACTACTAAGAAACAGTATTTAAAAAAAAAAATCATACAGGGCAAGGGATAAGCTTAGTGAGTAGAGCACTTGCCTAGGATGTATTATCACCATTTAAAAAAAATAAGACCAACCAACCAAACAACTAGAAAATAAAAGTGGATATCTAGCCTTTGCAAGTTATACTGTAATGAGTATGCCAGCAATCATTCAAATAGCCAGCCTAGCTCTGACATACTGGAGTTGAAAGTTACATCTTTGGAAAATAATATTTTAAGTTAAAACCAATTGTTTTGAATAGTGAGTTCATGCTGTTCTTTGTCCTCTTATTTAAACTTGTACTAAAAATATGTTATACCGAAATAGTAAGTGTTGAAGGGACATTTGGTGACTATCTAATGAAATCTCTTTCTTTTCTAAATAGTACTAGAATTTGAACTCACTCCTGTACACTTGCTAAGAAGGCACTCAATCACTTGAACAAAAGGCACTAAAACTTTTTATTTTAGATGTTGTTCAGATAGTATCTCCTGTTTTGTGCTCAGACTAGACTAGCTCAGTTCTCCTATGTATTATTTCCAGGCCACCATGTCTGGCTCTTTCTGTTGAGATAGGAATATTATTTCAGATATTAGGTGAACCCAGGGAAATTACATGTCATTAAATGAGGAGAACCATTCTGACTTTACTTGGGAGTGAGATATGAGTACTGCAGAAGAAACAAAGAAATCTGATGTTGGCATGAAGGTAGTGGCAGAGTTTCCTTGGCCAAAGAATGAATGACACTTCTACAAGCTGGAAATGTACTCTCCTAGGAGCCTCTAAACCAGGAATATGGTCTGAACAATATGAGGAACACTCATATTCTTCTGACCTACACATCTATAAAGTAATATACATGTCTTTTTAGCTACAAACCTTGTAACTGTTATAGCATGATAGGAAAGTCAAATAATAACTATTAATTGGACTTATGAAATGTTTCAAACAAAACATAGCTCAAAGTCTTAACCCTTTGGTTGAAAGCAAGATTAAAAAAAAATACACCTACTCTTCATTTAACTGACAGTAAAATACTGTGACCTGCTAAGTTTTATGTTATAAATACAAAGAAACCAAACTACACACAACATATACTAGACAAAAATCACTTGGTCTGGTAGACATGCAGAGTCACATGGTTCTTTGCTGCTGTTGCTACCATATCAATAATAGCAACTGGCTGTGATATTTGTTAATTTGCCATCAGTTCTTCCTAAGGATCAGGACAAACAATATCCGCTGGGATCTTCATTATGGTTTTAAAAAAATGTATTCCTTTTTAAAAATGCCTGTTCAGATTCTCTAAAATGATTTCATGCCCAGCATTTTGAAGGTTAAACTCAGTCTGCTAAATCAAAAGGGCTTTTTCATCTATTTGCCCTATGATCGCACCCAGTAGGTTATAGTTCCAAATCACTTTATTAACTTTATTAACTCCACTTCTGGTAATAGCCTCACCTGCTATTTATGGATGAAAGTAAGCCTTATTCAGCTTAGAAACAATAGAGAAAAGAGTCTAATACATTTAAGAAAAAGTGGAAAGAGAATGATCAGGCAGTATTAAACAGTGACTTTCAATAAGAGGAAAAGAAAAAGCACAGTAATTACTTGTCTTAGCCTTTAACTAGTTGTGCTCAGTCAGATTTGGGAGAAAATAATTACAATAGCATACCAGTTAATTGTTCCTTATAGGAAACACTTGGGATCAGAAATGCTTTGGATTTTGGTATATTTGGTACATTGTGGTATATTTGCAAATATATAGAGAGATATCATGGGTACTCAAGACTAACCAGGAAATTCATTTATGATTCATATATAAACACATAACAGGTGATCTTATACAATATTTTGACTGAGACCTGTTGTATAAAATCAGGTGTGTGTGTGGGGGGGGGGGGGAGGATTGGGTAAGGGGGGCGGGGGGAGGATGGTAAGGGATGGGAAGGGGAAACAAAGGAGGAGGCTACAATGCTTGATAAGAAATGTACTCATTATCTTGCCCATGTAATTGTAACCCCTCTGTACAGTATTTTCACAATAAAAAACAAAAAAATAAAAAAAAATCAGGTGTGGAATTTTCCATTTCTGGCTCAAAGAGTTTTATAATCTGTAGCGTTTAAGATTTAGTTTTCAGAGTAGGGATGCTGAACATGTACATCTAACTTTCCATTTTGATCAGCAGTGATTGGCATTAAGAAAAATATGAGATTATTCATATCAAAAATTTCCCTAATAGTTACATAGTGATAACTTGGAAAAATGGAAAGTAATTCTCCTAATAACCCTATTAGGCAAGGTATTAAGAATTTATAAAAAGGAAAATATTTTTCCCAAGGTTATGCAGCTGATAAATAGAGTTAAGAAGCTCTCCTCTTTAACTGGTGTGCTCTACTATCTCTGGGACCAGAAACCTAAGCCAGAGCACTTAAGAAGCTGACAGTCATAACTAGACAGAGTATCAAATGTGTCTAATTACCACACAGCTTCTTAAAGTGCAATAGAAGGTGATCATAAAAGATATAAGGGTGATCAAGAAGAAAATTTTTGGGGTGGGTCGGAGAGGAAGAAGTTGTCAAAATGACTGAGTTAGGTAAGCTTCCTCATCCCATTAAAAAATCCAGCATTTCCTCTGTGCTCAGAATGAACATTGATTCAGCAGTTAATTATAAAAGCTCTTTGGGGGATGGGGAGGTGAGATGAAGAATCTGTTTCTCTTATTTATGTATGTATGTATGTATGTATGTATGTCAGTCGTGGGGCTTGAACTCTGGGCCTGGGCGCTGTCCCTCAGCTCTTCAGCTCAAGGCTAGCGCTCTACCACTTTAGCCACAGTGCTACTTGCAGCTTTTTCTGTTTATGTGGTGCTGAGGAATCGAACCCAGGGCCTCTACCACTGTGCCACCTTCCCAGCCCCTGCTTCTCTATTTTAGAAATTTAAAAATAATTGATGAATGCAAATGGTAGAAAGGCACTCATTGTTTATTTAAAACAAAAATAAAAAGACTGGTAGACCCAGGTTAATATTTTCCAAAGAGCCTACAAAATGAACACAATAGGCCAAAGATACTATTATGTATCACTCGTGTTCACTACAGAAAATTTCTAAGAATGAATATAAATTATTCCATTTAGTGCGCTAATCATTCAATGAAGTAAAAAGAGATATGAAGTAAAGTGTCACATTTCTTAGAAATTAAGGGGGATCAGGGCTTTCAAGGTAGTCACAGTGACAGCAAGAATTTATCAAGATCTGGACACAAAGTGGATCAGTGGTGACTCAAGTTCTAATAGTTTAGTAGTTATAAGGGACTTGGGAAGAATTACACAGAAATCAAAAAAAGACATCTAAGGAGAGAGATTTTCAATGGATATATGTGAAAATGAACTAGGAAAATGGAAAGGATGAATGATGAAAAGGGAGAGATTGATGAAGATACACTATAACTGACTGTTGAATTGAAACCCTTTGTATAACTACTCTAAAAGATATTAAAAATAAATAAAATGTAAAAAAAGAAAACAGTTTCCTTCTTATCTCATATATTCTTGCTTCATATTTTAAGAATATCGATATTGGTGCCTACTTTATTACAGTGCAGGAACATCACTTTTTACAAAATGAATATAGATGCATTGGAGGGATAGACTCAAATGACTTTTACTGATAGGCATTCGCAATCAAAGACAATCTGAAAATAATTAGTCTGTGCTCTAAAGTAGACCTTTTCTTTGGTGGTACTGGAGTTTTTGAGCACAGGGCCTTCTGTTTGCTAAGCAGGCATACTACCACTTAAACTACAATTCCAATACTTGTTTCTCTTTTTTGGTGCTGGTACTAAGACTTGAACTCAGGGCCTTGGCTCTGTCCCTAGCTTTTTTGCTCAAGGCTCGTGCTTTACCACACCTCAATTTCCACTTTTTGGTAGTTAATTGAAGATAAGAATTTCACAGATGTTCCTGCCTGGGCTGGCTTCAAACTATGATCCTCAGATTTTAGTCTCCTGAGTTGCTAAGATTATAGGTATCAGCCATGAGCATTTGGCCCAATCTTTTCTTTTATCTTTAGGTTATTTTCCTAGATAAGATCTAGCATTTTTTTTTTTTTTTGCCAAGAGCAGGCCTCGAACCATGATCCCCTTGCCAATTTTATGACCTCCCTCTTACTTGGGACCCTAAGTATATACCACCATACTCACTTGGGGCCAGCCTTGAACTGTGTTCCTCTCCATTTCTGC